TTTCCAGCACATCCCAAAGATTCTCAATGGGGTTAAGGTCTGGAATCTGTGGTGGCAAATCCATGTGTGGAAATAATGTCTCATGCTCCCTGAACCATTCTTTCACAATATGAGCTCGATGAATCCTGGCATTGTCATCTTGGAATATGCCCGTGCCATCAGGGAAGAAAAAAATCCATTCATGGAAAAACCAGGTCATTGAGTATATTCAGTTATTCAGCTGACCTCTTTTTTTGGGCACATAATGTTGCTGAAACTAGACCTGATGAACTGAAGCAACCTCAGATCATAACACTGCCAGGTGGTGATGTTTTTTGGTTTGCCAGTGTATGTGCCTGGCATCTTTCTTTAACCCTGAACTCCACAAACACTGCTAAAAACAAAACTATAAAATATATGTAAGGGAGCTGTGTTCCTCGTTAAAAGATTTATATTTCTGTCTATCTAGTGCTGAGATTTACACACCCCGGTCCCCTACCATACAGAAAAGGCCGAACGTTGACCTAAAGTGTGTTCCTGTGTTAGTGACCTGTATTTTTCTACACTTAAGCTAGGTCACATCCTCGCCTACAGCCTTGGATTGGACAGTGAAGGAGCTGAAGTAATAGATGGATGAAGTCACCTCTCTGCTCTCTTTTCTTATTAGTATGTTCCTTGTCAGCACGTGTAAATGAAGGTCACCTAATTGGCTCCAAGTACTGCCCCTCTCTCACCCAATCTGTTCTGCTTTAACAAGGATTACAAGAAGGCAAAATCAAGTAAAATTCAGGTATTTATATTAAATGCATTTAAAATACATTTAATGTTATTAATACATACATAACTGCATTAATTTGTGTTTTTAAGCCTGGAGTTTCCCTTTAATAATACAACCCCAGTTCCCAAAAAGTTGGTACCCTGTGCAAAATCTACATGAAAACAGAATGAAATGATCTGCATATCACATGAACCCATATTTTTTTTTCAGAAAAGAAAATAGAAAACATATCAAATGTTTAAATGAGAAAATGGACCATTTTAAGAAATAAATAAGGTAATTGATGGCAGCAACACATCTCCAAAAAAGTTGGGACAGGGCAACAAAAAGCTGGCAATTTAAATGGTACTAACAAGGAAGAGCTGGAAGAACATTTTGTCAACTAATTAGGTTAATTGGCAACAGGTCAGTAACATAATTGGGTATAAAAAGAGCATCTTAGAAAGGCAGAGTGTCTCAGAAGTAAAGATGGGCAGAGGTTCACCAATCTGTGAAAAGCTGCATCTCTAAACAGTCGTGCAATTTCAGAATAATATTCCTCAAAGTAAAATTCCAAAGATGTTAAATATATCATCATCTACAGTACAAAATATCCTCAAAAGATTCTGAGAATTTGGAAAAATCTCTGTGCGCAAGGGACAAGGTCGAAACACAATATTGGCTGCCCGGATTATTGGATATTGCAGACACTGCATTAAAAACAGGCATGATTCTGTGATGGACATCCCTGCATGGGCTCAGGAATATTTCCAAAAATGACTGCCTGTGAACACAGCTTGCCATGCCATCCAAAAATGCAAGTTAAAGCTCTATCATGCAAGGAAAAAGCCATATCTGAACATGACCCAGAAACGCCACCTTCTTCTCTGGGCCAACGTTGTTTAAAATGGTCTGTCACAAAGTGAAAAACTGTTTTGTGGTCAGACAAATCAAAAATGTACATTCTTTTTGCAAACTATGAGCACCTAGGACTAAAGAGGAGAGGGACCTGCCAGCTTGTTATCAGCGCTCAGTTCAAAATCCCACATCCCTGATGGTATGGGGGTGCATTAGTGCGTATGGAATGGGCAGCTTTCACATCTGGAAAGGCACCATCAATGCTGAAAGATATATCCAGGTTTTAGAGAAGCATATGCTCCCATCCAGACAATGTCTTTTTCAGGGAAGGCCTTGACAACAGCATGGCTTTGCAGTAAACGAGACCGGGTGCTTAACTGGCCTGCCTGCAGTCCAGACTTTTCACCAATTGAAAATATGTGGTGCATCTTGAAATAAAAAATATAACCCAGGACCGTTGAGCAGTTAGAATCCTATATCAGGCAAGAATGGGACAACATTCCTCTCCCAAAACTCCAGCAACTGGTCTCCTCAGTTCCCAGAGTTTACAGAGTGTTGTTGAAAGAAGAGGGGATGCTACACGGTGGTAAACATGGCACTATGCCAACTTTTTTGAGATGTCATAATTAAAAAAAATTACCTTATTTTTTTCTTAAAATGGTACATTTCCTCAGTTTAAGCATTTGATATGTTTTCTACATTCTATTGTGAATAAAATATGGGTTTATGCGATTTGCAGATCATTTCATTCTGATTTTATGTAGATTTTACACAGCGTCTCAACCTTTTTGGAATTGGGGTTGTATAAGAATATACTGTATGTTGTTGATGTTACATATTCTCAGGTCCTTTGTGTGTGGTGGTCTGTTCAGTTTAAAATGCAGGTGCAAGGTGATAAAACATCAGGTGCAGCAGCACACACCACTAGACTGCAGACAGACATTAAATATTTGAGAAGAGATGATTTGTTGAAGCTGCAATGTCCATATTCTGAGATTTGCAGTAAAAAGGCATGAAGCAGTATAGAGAGCTCAAGTGGAAAACAGAAAATCTCCTTTACACACCATGACACAGTGTTCCTTTCTACAACTTATCCTTCAAAGCTTCTCTAAACCATCACAGCTGCTTCTTTCATGTGATGCTATTCCAAGCAAAGCATTTTGGGGGGAACAGTTATTGCAATTTAAATGACAGAATCCTATAAAGTGTCTCCTTACTTAAGAGTGAACTCAGCTATATAAGCTTCTGCTTTGAAAATGCATTTCTTGATCTTTATAGTCTTACATGTTACATATAAATGCACTTGCTTGTCAGAAACTTCAAAGGACTTTTCTATATGGTCTTTTTTTAAAACCCTGTATTGAGAAATACATTGCACAAATGTCTTTTTGACATGAGATGGAATAAGCCGTTGAACATTTGCAAAAATGGATTTTAAGATATAAATCCATATATAAAATTACCTGTAAAACTAAAATACAAAGAAGGGAATTTATCAAAATTGGAGCAGACAAAACCTGGAGCAGCTGTGCATGGTACCAATGAGCCTCCCTCGTTCATTTTTAAATCTTAACTGAAAAAACTGAAGAGAGAAGCTGATTGGTTGTCATGCACAGCTGCTCCATATTTTGTCTGCTGCGGTGTTGATAAATTCCCCCCAAACTACAGGAACTGAGATTTTTAAATGTTATCTATTTTGGAAACACTTTCAACTTTATTAGCCATTTAGGGTAATGGAGGAAGCTTAAAAGTTTTCTTATATGGCATTACTGGCAATATTATTAATGCAATTACTCTTTGCAAAGTGAATTTTCACCACATTCACTAAGCTCAGGCATAAATTCTCTTTAAAAGTGAAAATTCCCTTGCAAAGTGAACATGCTTTGCTCCTTTAGTAAACCTACCCCAATGAGCTCTCTTTGGTTTATATAAAAAGGTACCAGTTATCTGATGAATTAAGAGTCTACATAAAAGAAAGATTAATATTACTTAATGCATGTCTATACCAAAAACATTATGGTCTATTCACAAAGCTGCCGTAGTTCGGCCGATCCTTCAGCTAGCTTCAGCACCAGGACCCCTTCGGTTCAGGAGAACCGAGGGGGTGCTGTACGGGCTATTCACAATAGCCCGTACAGCTCCCGATCACGGAGTTCTACATAGAGCAAGGCTTTCTTATGGCAATTTTTTTTTTAGTTTTATGCATCTATAGAGAAAGAATGCTTTTTTCTTATTTGAACAGAGTTAGTTTTAAAACATCTAGGGGGTTAAACACTATGCTCCAGGCGAGTAAATAACCGAGTCGAAGTGAAGGGAGTGAACCCCGTTCGGCCGTTTTCAGCTGTACATCCGCTGGCTTCGGCTCTCTTCGGTTTAGCTGAACAGCCTCAGCGTGTTTGGCTTAAACGAAGTAAAGAAGACGTGCGCCCCAGCCGATACAACATCTGGATCAGCTGAGGCAAACTTTCAGCAGTTCACTCACTGCTGTTCACCCCTGTTCCCATAGGGACTGACCAGCAGAGAGTGAATAGCGGTCACTTCTGTTCACTACCTCAGAGTAGCAAACAGAATAAAAACTGTAATGTAAACCAAACAAAAAGTTTGAGGGAAGTGGGATCCCTCCCACACCTTACCAGACCCCCTCCCAAACCTTACCTGGTCTGGTAGGAATGTTAGGAGGAACCCCCAAGTTAAAAAAAAAATGGTGGGGTTCCCCCCAAAAGTCATTGCAGGCCTTTTAGTTTTGGTGGGAATTTTAGGGGAACACCACCACCCAAAAATGAAAAAAAAAGTGGGATCCCCCACAATTCCCAACCAGACCCTTAATCCGGGCACTGGCCTGGCAGGACAGGAAGGGGCACCAGGCCACATGATCTCGGCAATGGGAGGGTGCTTTTATAGCGGGGACACCTGGAAAAGTACCTTGACCCCATGCTGATGTGGACAAGAGCCTCTTTCCCACAACACCCCCCTCTTTCCCATGTAACTAGTGCTAAGCATCACATGGGGTAGGAAAAAGCCCTTGACCCTGAGTAAGCACTCAACTAGAGTGACTTGGAGCATACACAGGACTTTCTTTACCCATTTCTGTTGGCCAAATGGATTAGAAAAAGGGCTGAAAGAATGTAAGTATTTGCTGCTTTTGGGGTTGGCATTAAAGTGAATCTGTTGCTTTCCACTGAGGCATAGATATCTGACTACATGCTGTTCACCATATAAAGAGAAAGAAAATGGGTGCACCACCTACTGGGATTAGCCACTCCCACTGGAGAATAGACAAAAAGGAAACCCATTATCAAAATACAGAAATTTTTGTAAAAAGCTGACATAATTGTAATGCATTAAGCCACTCAAAAGCAAACATCTTATAAATACACACTACCTGTGAACACCAAACAATAAATACCTCATTGTGTAAAGCAGCGTTCCATCATCTTGAATTCTTAAAAGCTTATTTGGCATCGTCATGTTGTGAGCTATAGATTTCTTCCCATTATGAAAGAAAGTGTCTGGAGTCCAAATTTTATTTGCCATCAGATTGTTTAATCGAAGAATGCGCATTGGCCCTGTGAACCTCAATCTCTCATCTTCCCAGTTTTGACGGAAGAACACATCTATTGTATACTCCTAAAATGAAAAGGAAACATTGAAATTATTTCAATCTAGCCACGATTAACTGCCTTCCTATGAAATTCTGCAAATTGTAATGAACACAGACTACATCAAAATAACATGAGGGTTTACAGTATCTTCCTGTATCTTTCATTATCAAGAAAAGTTAAATCAATTGTCAAACTATCCACAAAGTAAATTAACATCACTAATGTTTTACTAAAACAATAAACCTACAGATAAATTAAACCTGTCACAAACTTGGGCGATTCAAAGTCAGCATACAATGAAAATATGCATTAGCAAAGTACTTGCCAAAATGATCGGTAGATCCAGATTTACAGGCAGCTACAGTAAACCATCAACTAGGCTATGGACCCATAATTATTTACATATACTTAACAAGCAGTAAATGAGATTTAAAACAAGCCTTCAATGACCTGTCTATAGTCATTTCTTCAGCAGCTTTAGCAGTGCCTTGGTAGCCTTCTAATCTAAACAAAGAGCAGGTACACTGTCTCTACATTAGAAAGCTTGATGGCTGTGAAAGAGAGCAGGCTCAGCTAAAGCTGCTGAGAAGCCAATTAAATTCAACTTCTGATCTGTTGTACAGTTCACTTGCAATATAATACTTACTTATTTTAAAACCGAAAACGAAACCGAAAGGAAAAAAAGGAAGCTGAGCGAGCATTGCGGGAGGAGAGCTCAGCCTCCTGTGACAGCGCTGGCTGTCTTTGCCCCCACATACTGCTCTCCTCTGATCTGTGACAGGAGGCAAAGCGGGGTGGGAGGAGAGAAGCCGCCCACTCACAGCGCTCTCCTCCCACAGCGCTCGGCTGCCTGTGACAGTTTCTCTTCTCCCCACTGGAACACAGAAGAAGCTCCCCATTAAACCAATAAATGCAGCTGCCTAGGTAAATTGGACACAAATACAGGTACAAGTTGTCTGCTCGGGCATTATTTAATTTACTGATGCATTCTTCACAACAAAAACAATTGCTGTATGAGTTATTTAAGAGATTTCAGTGATTCTAATAATTAAATTTACAGTAGCTGTTCAAAGTTTGGTCGTAGCACATAAACAGTGTGAAAACACTGCAATAATTCATCACTGAAACAAGTCACTGTGGATTCAAACACAACAGTTCCAATAACCATGATAGCAATAAATGTCAAATAAAGATTTTGTGTTGTAACAGTGAAAAACAGCCTCAATAATCTCTTAAATCATATCATTGTTTTTAGCAAGCAATGATTGGAAAAGCATATGAAATGTTAAGACTGTATTTTTTAAAGTATCTCAAAGCCAATATTACACTCATTTCAAACCTGTACAGTTTACATTTGGGAAATTAACACTTACTCTGGTTATTTGATGTGGTGCTGGAATGGAGAAAGAGCAGTGAATGAACACTGGAGATGTGAGTAAAAAGTGGTCATTCTTGGGCTTTACACAGTCACTGTCATATTGCCCAGAATTAGGCAGGGTGACTTGGCAGTGTGTCTTTAAAGTGGCCACATGTGACAATTTGAAAGCAACTTCAACTACTTTTAACCGCAGGGAACTCAATGAATCAAGCCAACCTACCATCAACACTTAAAGAGACACTAAACTAAGGAGTTATATCTTAAAAATGCATTAAAGTACCTCAATTTTTAACAAAAATGTATCTTATTAGTGTATCACTCGGCTGTAGAACTTCAAATAATCTCTGAATTGGTGCTGGCACTATCCTTCCTTCTGGAAGGAGGACCTCTCCAAGCTCACTAGTGTGATGGACTACAATCTCAATACAAATTAGTAAACAAAATGTGAGATTGTTGTCCATTGCAGGAGCAAGGGCTACTTTATGACACAAACAGGGACCATGGGGAACAAAAGTAGGCACCCTCCAAATGGAAGGGAAGGACAGTTTTAGCACCAATTCAGAGATGATTTGAGGATCTACAGCCGAGTAATGCACAATTAAGCCACATTTTTGTTAATAGTTAGGGTGCATTTTTAGCATTTAACGCCAGAGTTTAGTGTCACTTTAAGATTATATCACAGTGTTGATTAGAATTGTTGATGGTAGCTTGAATTGGTGTATAACAAAGTGAATGAAAAAAATGTATGTTATACCATAAATCAGCATTGTCTTCATAGTCTGTAAAATGGCTTTGAGCTCTGACAAAAAAAGCAATTCTTTGTTGGATCAGTGAGTGGAATGTAAATCATGGTAATAAAGTAAAATTCCGCTATTACTGAAAACTTAATACTGAAAACATAAAAATTCATATACTGCTTCTGTTAATTTACAACCTCTTAAGATAGTGTCCTGCTCTAGTAAAATTGATAATGGAGATGGGTATAAAAGATAAAGGGCTGCATAATGTGAGTCTCATATAGAGAGACATCACACAGCACTGCAATCATTAATTGCAAATTTCTAATTCAGTAATAAGTGTAGGTCGCTAATGTGGAAAACTATTACTCTAAAAAGTCAAATGCTTTTAGCTGTCATTCAATACTTGGCCAACTAAAGTACATCTATTTAAAATAAAGGGTAAATAAATGACTGGTTCTTCAAAGGAAATGATAAACTGATTGAAATAGACCTATGGCACAAATACTTCTAGTTTGAATGTGCTCAGTGGAAAAGAAACTTTGTTTCAAAACATTTTTACTTTTCAACACTATTAACAGAAGTAGCTTTGCGAATAAGCCCTTATTTTACGACCAGGTGTGATCTTTTCCCATACTACTTTGTAGTCATTATGGTACCACTATGGTATAAATCCAGGTTAAACACATAGGGGTCCATTCACTAAGCTGCCGTAGGCAGCCGAGTATATGACCGACCTGAAGTGAAGTGAGCCGAACCCTGTTCGGCTATTCACTTCAGGCTGGTACGGCTGATTTCAGCCGTACATCGGCTGAAATCAGCCGTACATCGGCTTTCT